TTTAAATACTGGCCTCCCTTCAATGGTCGAGCCATTGATGCCAGCTAAAACATGCAAAAATTTAACAAAAATAATATTAAAGTAGCCAAGACATAGCCAAATATTGTAGCGCCACATCACTAGCGGACATTTGAAATTTGCCGACTAGAACGGTCGGTTAACCGATGTGACGGTTAATCGGGGGTCGGATAATCGATGCTCTACTGTATATCAATTCTAATCAGTCAAATGACAGTTTTGTGTTTTTCTTTTCAATTTTTGAATTTCTTTTGATGAATTGAAATATTTCAACTAGCAAATTGCTTATAAACAATTTGTTAGCTATGTATCCATTGTGTCAATATTCACTTTTTCTTGAATGAGCTTTGGTTATATTTTTTTTTCAATTAACTCTGAACCAACCTCTATATTATAACAGTTTTAAAACAGTAGATCATATATTATCACTTATTAATTATTTTCATGAATTCATTGTCTTTTCTACTGTGATGAATAGTAGTGAGAAATTTATATATATATAAAAATTTCTCACTACTATTCATCACAGTAGAAAAGACAATGAATTCATGAAAATAATTAATAAGTGATAATATATGATCTACTGTTTTAAAACTGTTATAATATAGAGGTTGGTTCAGAGTTAATTGAAAAAAAAATATAACCAAAGCTCATTCAAGAAAAAGTGAATATTGACACAATGGATACATAGCTAACAAATTGTTTATAAGCAATTTGCTACTTGAAATATTTCAATTCATCAAAAGATATTCAAAAATTGAAAAGAAAAACACAAAACTGTCATTTGAATGATTAGAATTGATATATTCAGAAATAAATTTTGAATTGTTTCCAGTACTTGTTTTATCTCTCTTCTATCTAAGTAATAATATCCCTTGTATATTTATCATAAATACATTATAAATTATTAGAAGGAAAAACTTTTGAATATTTTCCAATCGTGCAATAATTAAGAAAAAGTCAAGATGTAGTGAATGTTCTGTAAATTTTAAATACTTCTATTTTGATAATTTTTGCATTGCACGAGAATAAGTTAACTTAGGTAGTTAATGTAAAAATTACAAAAATGCTTTGTATATTGATAATGTACTCATTATTAATAAATAAACATTAAATTTAACACTTCAATTCTACAGTTAATCTATAGTAAATTATTTTGCACATATGTATACATACAGACAAGTAATTAAATCTCAGTAACTTCTACGTCCTTACTGTTTTACTTTTGTTTCTATATTGTCTACTTGGATCTTGTTTATTAATAGAACTTATTATACTGGTATAGTTTCTGATTAGCAAAGAGAGGACATTATAGTCAACAGTCAGAACAAAATTAATTTTTATCTCTACATTCTTTTTGTGTGTTTCAGACCTGAAGGTCCCTCTTGAATTGTTATAGAATGTAAACCTGCTGAAGATGGGCCTTCAGATCCGAAACACACAAAAAGAGTGTACAGATGAAAATAAAGATATTTTGTGTTTTGACTTTTGACTAAGATTTCCTCTCTTTGATAATCAGAAACTAACCAATATAATAACTTCTATTAATAAACAAGGTCCAAGCAGACAATATAGAAACAAAAATTAATAAAATTAACTTGCATTATGTTATTATGCATTGAAAATTAAACATGCACTATGCATATTTCATTTTCAATGGCTCCACTTATAATATTCAAGTTCTTTTATGATTACAAATCAATAAACTATTTTCCTGTTCAATTCCTTATGAATGTGATAAAAACATTCGAAAGCATTGTGTCTTACACATAGATTTCTATTTTTATTTAAATGGAAGCGTGTGTCACGGACACGTCTGAACATTGATCGCTAGCAAGGCAGATCTGCTCAGTTAGTGTCTACTCCAACACAAGGCTTTCATATACTTCTAGGCTCTCCCGTTGCCGCCTGTCGCACGGTCAAGAGCTGATCCGTCCTTCAAAATTCTCGTTCTCTGACTTTGGTCAGAAACGGGCTGGGTATATTCGGCGCTTTCTCCTGTAGTTACTACCTATTTTTACTTAAGAATGCAAGCATTTTGGAGGTTGCCATTACAAAAATGTTTATGTAGAATGGTTTATTGAATATTTTACATATATTTTAGATATAAAACCCAGAAAAATAAGATTTTCAAAGTTTTTTATTAGAACATTATTCTATTGTTTAATGCTTCTGAAAATATTTAAGCTTCTTTGTATAAAAATAGATTTCTACACAATATGTGGCTTCTGCATATTACTCTCGTGGAAAATTAATTTTTACTGTAATAAAAATTGTTTACAGGAATTGCATTTACTCTTAAATTTCCTAAGAAAGTTCAGAAAAATTTCATTTACAAGTCATCTGACTTACCCAATGCCATATGTTCAGGCATTTCCTGATTTATAAATAATTACTATAACAAATGTGCAAGACAATCTTTCACTATCACAAGTAATGTGGCCAACAGCTGAACACACATGGGTCACTGGATTATGGAAGAAAAATTGGAAACTGTGATGTTTTTTGAGACCTTTTTCTTTTTGGATGACACTTTCAGCTACTTAGTTTCTGGGCTTTTTCTGACATAGTTTCATTATATGAATTTAATGAAATTATTGATAGATAAAAGCTTATTAACAATAACCAAACATACTACTATACATTGGTTGTTTAAGTTTTTATTTTATTAAGTACAGTAATACCTCGACTTACGCTACCCAAACTTACACGAACCCAGAATTACGTGATTTTCAAATCTCATTGATTCGTCTTTTGTTTGAGCACCACGCAACTCTTGATTACTCACTCCCCCAACACTATTGTTCAGCTTATGTGTTCAGACGTGTTGCGCGGAATTGACACATAGCTACAATTTATTTTGTGCTATTTATTTGTGTTTGTTATATCTACGGAGACTTGAGAGACTATGTGGTGATTTCTTGTAACTGTGAACGAATCAAAAGATGAGATAAGATTAACGAGAACATTTATTAGCTTACATACATCTGACTTGAATTTTACACAAATTGCGAAATTATACCCCAACTTACGCAAATTTGACTTATACGGTTATCGCCCAGTCCCACCTATCATGTAAGTTCGGGGTATTATTGTAATTAAAAGTGCCACGTATTTTACACATAAACAAAACCTAAAACAGATGATTTCTAGGAATGGATTAATTTTGCGAAAATACAACAAAATAACTAGCAGATATGAAAAACAAGTATAATGGCAAGGCTGATTTTTGGGACAAGACTATGTCTCAGAGACTCGGGACTCGATGCTATCATTCAAACTTTGCCAGCCTCAGCCACAGCCAAGACCATGAGGCATTTTCGGTGAAATTAACCTATCCAATGTCAAAATTTCTGTCCGTTGCTTGTCGCCCCGAGTTGAATTTTTGTTGATGCCTAGCGAAAATGTTCCATTTTTGAAAAAATAATCGTGGCTATTGTATCATCTGAAATTAATCTGGCTGTTTGTATGATATTTGAAGTAATTATTGGGTTGTTGTTGTATTTACTATTTAGAAATCAATGACTATCAGAAAATAAATTTTTAAATTTAACTCATAATTCTTTGCACTTAACTCACAACGCATCAGAATATTTTAGGTCTAGTATAAGCCCTATGTTTATATTTAATATCTGATATAAAAGTATTAGAATCAACTAAAATTTAACAAAATAACCTGTATTAAATGAAGTATTAAAAATTATAAAAATTGGGTTGCAATTTGAAAAATTGTAAACCTATAAACTCCCATTGTCATTTGTCTGTCCATCCTTTCTCAATCTTGAGTTGTATAGATGAAAATCAAGACCAGATATGGGAAACTTAGAGGCAATAGGCCCAATACCCATATACGAACTTCAGATTTGCACTGGAGGTCATGTTATTTCAATTAAAAAATTTTCCCCTGAAAGAAGTTTGATAGATGACCAGCACAACGCTATTCCTAACAGGAAAAGCATGATGTACAGGGGCAAAACACTACTAATTTTAGATGGAGAATATATATTTTAAATTAAATAAATTAAAAATTGCAGACTAGCATTGTGACAATGTCACAATAAAATAATTGCTCGTGTTTATTTTAAAATAAAATTTATTAATACTTACAGTCAATGTGTATTCAAAACAATCATCTCTTATGGGCCAATTAATTCCATCTCCCAAAGGATTCCAGAACACTTGAAGTAAATTTTTCCAACAACCAAGATCATAAGGATAAATAAAAACATCACCTTCTTCTCTTGGGCGACTTAATGCCTGAAAAAATTATATTTTGTTTTACAAATTTTCAAAATTATATTGTATATTTATAATTTTTATATTATTTAGATATATATCGAAATAATTATTCTGAATTCTGTGGATTCAGAGTCGACTCCGATTCCACGACCTTGGATATATCTGTAGAAGTAATTTTATTGCTAGAGAAGAACTTGACTCCTGTTTTTATTATGTATTTTATATTGGTTCAGGCTGAAACTCTAATAACATCCTATCTTACACTTTAGAAGCTCCCCTTAATGCAAGATCTTATTTTATGATGATTCCTCTACTTCATAATCTTTTTCGCATATCACTAATTACTGTTGATCCTGTTTTCAGAAATCCATATTCAAATACATTGTGTTCTAAATTTTTATTGTCAAAAGACCCATGTAAAATAGCTAAGGAGACTCAAGTTAAATTAGTAGTAAGGTTGTGGCCAAAGTTTTCACCTCTAAAACGTGAATGTTGAATGTCAAGCGTTGCTTACAAGATAGCAGCTCTTAATGTTCACGTTTTAGAGATAAAAACTTCGGCCGCAACCTCACTAGTGTTTTCTAATACTTCACTATACCCACAAAAGGAATATACTTTGTATGTCAATGTGTAGTTGAAGATGAAAGTAACAAACTTTTGTAAGTGTAGGAACCTGAAAATGGAGCACAGCTCTGAAAGTATTTGGTTGTTGGTTTATGTTTTCTGTGTATGTAAGTGATCTGAATAAAGCAGTTTTTATTTTTTATAATGTTAGTGGTATAATGAAAACATCTATGAAGAAAGATAAGTACTTTCAGTGATTTTGATAGGAATGCATGATGATTCATTCGGTAATGACGAAATACCATTCTAGGTTAATGTAATCAAAACATATTCTGAATTATTATTTAGAGGCAGGATTCAGTTGGATCCATTGTTGAGGACTTGTCAACCAATTCCACAGGTTTAAATGTATCAGCATAAATTTTTATAGAAGTTAAAATCTGTTAAGGTATACTAGAAAAAGCAGTAAAAGACATTTATTGTACATTTATATGGTTTTTACAATGAAAATATTTATGTAGAAATTGATATAATTGATATTTTAAGTTATGCAATAATTTACAACTCTTCATTCACAAGGTTTAAGATTTTAATTTTATATCAATATTTACATATATATATATATATATATATAAAATTAAAATCTTATATAATAATCTTATAAAATCATATTGCCATGGCTCGCTCTTCCCACCATGTCATTCATGGTGTAGGGATTAGTGTCTTCACCTATCAAGCGAAGGTCTTCGATTCGAACCTCATTGATGTGGGGGTTTTTTTTGGTGGGCACGTTCTCCCGGTCTGAGAACACATGGTAATTTGTTAGTATTTACATATTTCTACCATGTCTCTGTAGTATATAACAGCGAGCTCTCAGGTTGAAAGCGGTTCTTGTTCTTGTACTGCAAGTTGCAGTAATTGTACGTTCGCCGAGTGAATAAATACCCTTTTGTGTTTCCAATGACTGGTTGCCGTCTGTTTATGCGACAATATTATTATCGTTAGTATAATAATCTTATTAAAATCATATAATACATATATACTTGTACATGTATATATGATTATTATTTCAATGTAAATGTATATAAATATGCAAATATACACATTCATATAAATTACATCCTTAAGGCATTATAAACATTATTAAATTTCACATTTACTTTAGTTTTATTATAAGTAATGCAACATTATTTCATTTCAAAGTAATATTGTTATATGACTTTAGTAAACTATACAGTGGGTGATCAGTTAGCGAACAGTTCAGATAACGAACACTTTTGCGAAAGATTTTTATGATCAGACAACAAACACATGTTCGGATAACGAACACTTTACTGAATAAACATATAAAGAAGCAACAGAAAATAACGAATACCAATTGATTTTCCCTTGTCTTCAGGTAACAATTCAAAACCTTTTGGAGCATGAGAAACGTAGCATCGACTCTCAACTCGATACCGATTGGATAGTATTCCTCTGAATTTTGAAACTCACCCTTGTAATTCCAGCTTTTTGTTTACCTTTCTGACAAATAATTTTTATAGTCTTTGCGAGACTGTTGGACAGATACTTGTTAAATTTTGCATCGGGGTTTATTTACAAAAGGTGAAAGGATATTCGTTAACGTTTTAATACCCAATTTCAAATTTCATCTGGGCCTTGTATTTAACTAATTTTTTGTGGCCTAGTTGATTTCTGTTCTCTGAATTTTGTAAGTGCTTTTCTGAACTTTTTATTTAAAAAAGAAACTTATAATATTTTGGAGCATAAAATGAGGAGTGTCAAGAACTGTGCTCACCATAGAAACCAAGATAATAGCCAAGGTAGAAAGTGAGCACAAGATGTCTGATATTGCTAGCCAGTATGGCTTGAACAGGTCTACAGTAAACTCAGTCTTAGCTATGAAAGATATATCAAGTAGTCTCAAGCTACTAATGGAGTAATGAAAATCACGTCTGAGAAATAAAGAGCATTTTAGAGCTCATAATGGAACCTGAAACGGATCTGATGACAGAAGGATTCCAAGAACGCTTAAATGAAGAACACCAAGAAACTCAGCGAGATGTGTTTTCTTCTGAAAAAAAGGAAGACGAAAGAGGACCAATGTCGACATCTTCTACTAAAGATCTTTTGAAGAAGTGGAAGAATGTCATATCATCTAAGTGGTATCCAAACCAGAATAAGGTTAATGGGGTTGGGAATCTCTACAATTACAATACTATTAATTACTTCCAAAAAATCCTGAAGAAAAGAGAAAAGCAATCGACATTGGACAGATTGTTTAACTCCCACAAACGGAAAAAACATGACTAATAAAAATGCAAGACTGCATATATATATGTATTTTTACTATTACATGTAAATAAATGTAGTAAAAAAGTATATATTTTTTATTTTTTGGAGTCTCCGGAACGAAGTAATCAAATTCCCATACAAACCTATGGTAAATCGATAATCAGATAACGAACAAAGTCTTGGAACGAATTATGTTTGTTAACCGATNCAATTCAGATAACGAACAAAGTCTTGGAACGGATTATGTTTGTTAACCGATCACCCACTGTATATTGAATTACTTAATAATAATAAAATTATTATTATATATTTAATCCCATAAAAATGAATATAATTACCAGCTATCATTATATATATTCTCAATGCAATGTAATACTTTATGCTTAAAAATAGAGTAAAATATAAAATAGTCTAGTGTAAAGTAATCAATTAAACATAGGATACCATTATGTTATGGGTCTACACGTTGTAAAACTTATGGACAACATAGCTTAATTGAATTATGATTGCAAATGGAGGTTTAAAGAGTGTATAATGTTTGAAATGCTTTTTGTATTCTGCAGGAAAATGTTATATTAAATTTTCAAAGTTTTTTCAAAAAAGCAATAAAAGTTGTGTTAAAAGCCAACAACAACTAGTAATGAAGCAATCTATAGCTTAATTTTTTTGCTGGACTAATACACGAATGCATGGATCAAAGTTTATTTTTGCATTTTCCTTTAGATTTGAGTTTTAAAGTGTCACGGAATCATTTTTGTCTAAATTTGTCCTGCAACTTTTAAAATACGAATTATTATTCTAAGTGAAGGAAAGTAATTAGCATTCTTTTAAACTGCCATTTAAGTAGTAATAAATAAATGTTTTAATGTAACGAAATTAACAAAAAATGTGTAATTGTAATATTATAGAAAAATCGTTCCTGTTAATTTCAAATAATCTTTTATTTTGAATATTTGAATAACATGCTTTAACTAATTCAAAAATAGCCAATTAATAATGGTCATTTTTTTTTTAGGCATAATAATCATTCTTGGTAAATTCAATAAAAATAATGAATTTTAAATTAGCACGCTTTTCAACTTTGGAAGATGACATACAAATCAACGTGATGTGACATGCAGATCCATAACACACAAAACTACTTAGTTGTATAAATTATAAAGTAAATATATCTCAAACATAAAATTATTTCATACCTTAGTGACAATCCAATCTTCAATACTAGTCTTATTTCTCCAAATTGATTTCAACTAAAATTTAAAAAATTTTATCTATGAATTCATAGTATTTAAAATTAATCTAAATTTTAAGATATAAGTTGACTAATATTAATGCTTGAGAATAAATTAAAAAGAACAGTTACTATTACAGTATTACAGCTGTAAGATATAGAAAATGAATAATGGATATCAAGTAAAAAAAAAGTCGTCAGCAATTGAAGTAGTAAATTGTATTCAAGACAAAATTTTATGATGCACAATAAGTTTAAACAACATATTTAACAGTAAAATAACAACAAAGAGAGAAAGAACAAGAAGCAGTAAAATAGCAGTAAACGTATCAAACTAGGCCTGATACTACAAAACTTTATAATAAACCTTTTAGATGCAACTATCTTAAAACATTTTGAAGAATATGCAAGATATACAATGAATTTTGAACGTTCAGTTAATGAAATATCTTTCAATTAATGTTTATAAAACATTTTTTGCTTTTCTATATTGAATTAAGGGGAAAAAAATGAACAAATCAAATCAGTATATACATGATTTATAAAACTTATAATTAGTGCAAAAATTCAAATTTTATTATTATTTACAAAAAGATGATTTAAATCTTTAATTTGTACATTTACGATAAGACTATATACATGCATACAATAAACATATGTAGATATAGCCTGAAATGTTATACATATGAAAACAAAACATTCTTTTTGAACAGAATAATATAATAATAAAAGATATGTCATAAAAATTGAACTAAATTAACATATTCATTTAACCAAAATGTTTCATGATAAAAATGATATGACTGTATGGTTAATGCTACCCTTGTTTTCTTCTATCACATATTATCAAACTCTGCAGTAAGAAAGTAAATGAAGAAAATTGGAAAGATATTAAAATTCTATGTTACTACAAGATATTACAAAAATTATATATTTATAAAGGAAACAGAACTCCAAATACAATTATAACTAATATATACAGATCATGTTTTAATCTTTATTGAGAGGTGACTGTAATCTGAGTCTTTTGATATTTTTAACTTAATTAATAGTTTAATTATTCTTATTTCATTCTACAACAGTATGATCATCAAGGTGGTGGTGGAATTCTCTTCTCATATCAATCCTCTATTAAAATAAAATTAATATTTGAATATTCTGATAGTTTAGTTGTGGCATTTCCTTCTTTGTTATTGTCATTTCTTGTACTATCCTCATCCTGTTAGATCTATCATCTATTTTTATTCTTTATCATTTTTATTAGATCATTGTAAACTAATTCATTTAAAATTGTAATTGCCAGTGATTTTAATTTATCTAATAAATTTTGGCATTTATGACAGCTTTCTTTCTCATGTCTTGAACTGCCAGAGGAAACATTTTTGTTTAATATTTTTTATTTTTTGAACTGAAATAAACTATATTTGTCCCTGCATGTGATAATGCCTTTTTTGATATTGTGTTTTACTAAGATTGTGTTGTTAATACTTATTTAACTAATGGTTTTAGATAGATGACCGGCATGAATCTAATGTTAAAGGAAAAGTATGATGTACAGGGGCAAGACACTACTAATTTGAGGTGGAGAGCATATATTTTAAATTAAATAAATTAAAAATATGTTTAAAAATTGCTCATAATTTTAAATCATATATAAAAGTATTACTTTATGTCATTCAAATGTTTGTTCTGATGGTATTCAGTTTTCATTTTCTGATATTAAATCAGCTATTTCTAAATTATCTAATTCTTATCCTAGTCCATGATATTCCAGCTGTATTTTATAAGAATTTTCCAATTTATTTTGTTTTTTTTTAAATTCATGAATTTATTTACTTCCCAATTTCTGCTTGCATTAAACCTTGTTATCATTGTGGTCTGGTAAATTTTTCTACGAATAATCTTTTAGCTACTCAATAAGAGATCTTAAACTGTTTTGAAGGAAAAAGGCAAAATCCTATTATATACTACATTTGGACAGATGTAAAGCTTCAACTCTTTAATTCTGTCTATATTTATTTGAATTCTACTTATACGCCAATGACCTTAAAATAATTAATTTTGATTTTTATCAATGCCAACAGGATTTCTCTATTCAATGTCAATAAATTGAAAACTTTCAATCTTAAAATTAATTCCTCTAAATCCATTATTGTGTGTTATTCTCTACTACACAATCTAATTCAGAACTAATTAATAGCTGCCATGCAAAGATAACTACATAATCCTTTAAATCTTTCATTTCATTTAAACAATCAAATAATTACTTACATTAAGTCCTAAGACAATTTAAGAATTGTTTCTGACACCAAATTTAAAAAATTTGGTATCAGAAACAATGTCTTTAATTTGTGTGTGGAAAAAATTTTAAAGAATTCAGCTTTCACTGAAGTTATGTTGTGGCATTATTGACATTATTTTTCTAATCATCTAACACTACATCTTGTTACTTTCCCTGTTACTTTTGTATGTATTCATATTGTTTGTGGGGGACACGATTTTGCTCACCGTCTTTGAAGTTCAATAACGCCTGTACTTTTTGTTGAAAATTTCTAAAATTTTGCAGGGAGGTTTGTTTATTAGGGAGATTGATGCTATTAAATTTTGGTAATTAAAAGTCAAGGGGACAGGGAGATAAAGGGGATCACGTATATCTCCAGTAGAGTCAGACTTAATGATGATTTTACTCCTTAAGCATTTACAATTTTTTATAAAACCCATCCCTACCATCAAAATTAAGCTTTTTTGCCATTTTATAATAGTTAAAAATATAAAAATGTTTTTAGTAAAATATAATAACAGATGGTTCCACCAAATTTTGCTGAATTTTTTTTTTTGCTATTTTTTTTTTGTCATTAATTTACTATTGCCTTCCTGTTTGGGCTAACACTTCTAATACAAATCTACATAAAATTAAAAATGCCTTTAAATAAATTATATAAGTTGATAGATAAAATATGTAATTTAAATTTTACCGATAATAGTGATATTGCCAGATCATGTTTCAGATTATCCTGAGAATTAAATACTTTGATAATATTTTAGTTTAATGGTTTTCTTTCACCTAATATCTTTCCTTTATACATTCCATCATATTATTCCCACAATTTGTCTTTTTTATTTTAAATTTTCAAGACAATATTTCTAAAAATTCCTTTTTCTTGTGAATAGTGAATAATGCATACAAGGTAAAAGAATATTTACATTATAATTTTACTCAATTTAAAGCTGTTTGTGAACATCACTTATATTATCAATAGTTTTATTGTTGTCTTATCTTTTTATGTATTTTTGTTGTGTTTTTGTTATTTATTTTGTTACATTGGGAAAGTTATCACTAGTTCTTTATGAACTTTACTCATGTATAAATAAATAAATATATTTTTTAAAGCTTTAATTGAAGAACTCTTTGCTGAAGACAGAGATTATAAACATTATGAAAAGAAATATTAAAATTATGAAATAAAATATGAATAAATAGAATGCAAAAAACTAAGTAAATTAATTTCCATTTGTTTATTACTGTCAATTTTCTATGTATTTGTTTATGCTATTAATTTTATCATATAGTTTTATTTATTATAACCATGTTGCAGCCGAAGTTTTCATCTCTAAAATGTAAACGTGAACATCAAACATTGTTTACAAGACAGCAGCTCTCGATCTCAACGTTCGATGTTCACATTTTAGAGATGAAAACTTCAGCTGCAACCTCACTAACAGTACACTATATAATTATAAAAATTTTAAAAACAGTCTGATATTTGTTGAGCTTATAACATGCGTCTTGAATATGTTTTTTATTTTAAAAGACTTAGTTTCTTGTAATTTTGTTATTTATTTTATAAATAAAAAACATAATTAAGATAAATTTGTTTTATTTACAAAATAAATAGCAAAGCTACAAGAGACTTTTCAAAATTTATGACTTCAAAAGGTTATGTTTTAAATGCAAATTTTAAATAAGTATGGTAAGTTGTTCAATATATACAATTTGAATATTAAAAATCTTTGAAAATACAATGCCTATGCCTAGAATACAAATTGAAGTGAAAGATTCATTGATATAATTATTTTAAAAAATAAAGACTTAGTTATAAGATTCGAGTTATTTTTTTAAATTAATTTGAATTTATGAATTTCCTCCTATTAAATATATACATTTACACACACATTTAAATAGTAACTTTTATTACCTGAACAACAAATAAACCTCCCACTGCAATAATGACTCCTATTGCTAATCCTAAGCTGAAAACTGTGAAGATGAGGGTATACAATGAAAGATAAACAATGTGATCTCTATCTCCATGATATAAATACCAATTCTGTAATGATTTTTCATACGTTATATAAATTTTATTAATTTATTAATTTACTTATGTACAATATAAAATAAAGTAATATCATGATTACTTACCAAATGAAAGGCACGATAAATAGCAGTAATTAAAAGTACAGTTGATTGTATAGATCCACAAACTGCACAAAATAAAAACCAGGTGAAATTAGCATGATTACGATGCCCACAACAATTATTTATCCAAGGACAATGATGATCCATCTTCATTACACATCTGAAACATTAATGCTAAATATCAATTCCATATGTTAACACTATAAAACATTTTTAAAAAATTCATCAATTAAATCAATATTTTCATTAAAAGAATGCTTTTATTAATAATTTTATAATAAATTTAGAAAGAATTAAAAGGTTTGGAACCAGATTTGAATATATAATCTAAGATAACATATAAAACTGTCCAAATATTACCCCAGATTACAAATTTTATCATCACACTTGACTACATGATTCTTCAGAAAAGCATTTTCTATTATTAATTTAATGATTTCATAACAACATTTAATCAACATTGATTGTATAATATATTTTATGTCCATATGACTTGAGCCTTTAGAGTTTTTAACAATATAAAATTAATTTTAATTTAACTTTTAAACAAATATGATACATAAAATATTTTATGCGAACATATGCTATAAGTACATCAATTAACATTCGATCTTACTTTTAATCTAATCTTAAAAACAAAAAATAAATCAAACAGTTATTAAACATAATATTTTATATACCTTTTGCACTTGCGACAATGGTGAACTCTGGGAGCTTTGTAACCGTCGCATAAGCTACAATATTGTAAGTATTGTACATCATCAGGATTTTTCTGAAAATATTTCAAATTTCCCAAAAATTATTACTACTACTATTAGAATCATTTTAAAATACTATGCAAAATATTTTAAGTAAAAATATCTTACAGGTTTCCATCCGTAAGGAATATATCCCGGGCCCACTATCATTGCACAGAAAAAATTATATAAAGTTGCACCGACCCAGCCTAAAAATATAAAATGATTTAATGTACCAGCAACCGTAGTAAATGGTGGAAACCACATAGAAGTGACGTAAAGCGTCGTTAGAAGAATAGATTTGATGATGAACAGAGCAAAAATAGGTCCCCAGTGAAATAAACGACGTAAGACATTTTTGCTACTAATACTGTCAGTCTGCATCAATGATTTTCTGGAAAGAAAAAACATATATGTATATATATTATATACTTTGAGATCTAATGATGAGGTATTTAAGCCTCGAAAAAACATATAATCTAGAGAATAAAAGAGCTCCATATTCAACCGGATATGGAGCTCTTTTATTCTCTAGATTATATCAGTTGGTGTTTTTACAATAGAGTCAGTGGAAGAACCTAGAATTTCATATAAAGTTTTTGCAATTTTGAACTTAAGTGGCTTGATATCTAAATTTATACAATTCTACCCAAATTATCAAAAAATAAATAGGATACAACTAGCATTCATTTGATTATAATGATGAAAATATTGAAATGGCAACATAATAAATATTTATTAACTATTGTAAGTATATGTGAAATAGACTACAAGAAAGATTTACTTAATTTAAAGAATAAAAACTAGCTATTTAAAGTGTAAAGTCTTAAATACTTAAAAACGTAAGGCTTTTGATGGATATATTTTGAGTATAATGTAAATTTTCGTCTACAAGTNCAATTTTATTTCCACAATCTTGTGAAAATATGTTTATTAAAAAATTCAATATTTTTTTTATATTATATTTATATTATATAATAAAATCACGATACAGAACTGCAGTACAAAATAAAAAAGTACAGAACTGCGGCTCCCGTGCAATTTGAAAAACCTACGTTTCAGCTCCCACTGACCTCTTGCTTGCCCACCCCTGTAATAAACATTTAGTGTAAATGAGTTTTATATTCATGCTGTTTCCAACAGCTGTGCATTATGATTAATGGCTGAATAAAAGTGGTGTGGTCTTGTCATGTGCTTTAGGCTGCCATGTATCATATCTACATTTCACTTCTAGTCCTACCTACCTTACTATGTTTGGGAGTTGACTTTTAGGAAATGTAAATTAAAACCAGAATTTTGAGCTAATACACTACAGATCAACTTACATACCAGCATATATACTAAGTTTAAGGAAACATTTTAGAAAATGTCTTCAACAGTTCAGAAAAATAAACACTCTTCTCTGAATTTCTGTATAACTAGGTATTTTCTACGAAAAAGAAACAGAGTTCTGCAGCATAAATTTTTCTGTTTCGGCTTGACACAAATACACAGATATAGTGATATGCTTATAACATTCTGTCTAAAGCAGGTTAAAACACACAGATACAAGGGGATGAGTTTTGAAAAGTTAATTTTGTCAGGAAATCAGTATGTTAAATGCCCATCATAAAGATTGAAATAAAAGTTGTCGTAGAGATCAATATAAGTTAAGAGCAATTTTAAACTCAATTGACATGATCATGCAATGAGTTTACAACCAGCAACCTGTCCATAGAGGTTACATGGAGAAATATAACCTCAAATAGCTCAGCCATGGATAGAATTTCAATTTTCCAGCTTCGTCACGACATTGACCTTGCCAAGTTGTACATACATATTTGCAAAAAATAATTTTTAATATCTGTGTGGTTGCTTTGAACTCTGATCACAAGCAAAACACTTTCTGATTTATGAACAGCTTCACTTATGCTCAATTCAATAATAAGCATAGCATTTCTTTGAATTGTTAACTTTGATAAAGGTGCATTTTAATTTCGTTTTCATCAATTTTTGCATTTCTGATTATCTTAATTTAATTTGCAACTTTTTTCCAATAGATTTCATGCTTTCTTTTAAAATAAAAGCTGTCACATCACATTCACTCAAAAATATTACATCATAACTATAATAAATACTTAATAAAATTAACTATAATTTAATGCTTTTTTGAAAATCATACTGAAAAATATCAGAAAGTTCTTTTACAATTCAAGTAAAACCTTTTCCATAAAACTTTTAAATATTACTTAAAAGTCATATACATTGAATGCAATATAGTTAGTACACAGTAAATAAATATCCTAATAATCTCTCAACAAACCTTTAACCGGTGGGAAAAAATATGAGTAATACTACACGCAAACGTTTTCGGATCCCTCCTTGGGTCCTTTCTCAAGCAAAGATTAGTCCGTAAAAATTCGTTAGAACGAAGACCAGCAGAACGAAATTCTTCCAAACTGCAGCATTCGAAAAACAAATTATTTAGAACCATATTTCAAATATCGAAATTCAAAAAACCAAGTTGAATCACGTGCATTCCAGTGTTTGTAATCCAAAGTCATTACGTAATGTTCGGTTTTTTTATAATGGCGTTTTATGCATTTTATAAATTAAATAAAAATGAAAGATCATATCAGCAGGTTTGAGGGGTTTTAATACCCTAATTATTATACATATTTATTAATGTGAATCGTCATTCTGGAGTAGGGCCTGCCACGCTAGAGACAGGGTAATTTCATCCCTCAAATTGATGGGTGCAGATGTGTTTGCACATTTCCATTTGTTCTAACCACTTGAGGTGGTCCATAAAAGGTGTGGTAATAAGGAGTTTGGCGTTGTTGAAGTCCGCAGAGATCTCCGGGTCCAAAGCATACAAAGATAACGATGTAGAACCCTGTTGTGTAGTATGTCCCATTGTTAAAGGTTTGTTGAGAGATTATTTTACATTGATCCGGTGTGTGAAGATTCTTTATATAATTCAAGTAATAAGAATCACCAGAAAAAAATTATAAATATACAATGTTGCATTTTATTATAGATACACTGGGAAATATTGTTAAACATTGCTAAACAAGTGGAATAGCATTTTAACAATTGCAGTGTAGTCATTTACTGTAACTCCAGTAGGCTTCTACAAATGTTACTAAAACTTGTATTTGAAGAACTTATTTAACAAGGATTAATATAATAAACCAGACACAGGCAAATGCGGCTCTTTTTGAGTTACATGTGGCTCTTGCTGAAAGTGTTAATTTCTGCTTTTTTTTATATTATTTTTACAATTTTATTTCCACAATCTTGTGAAAATATGTTTATTAAAAAATTCAATATTTTTTTTATATTATATTTATATTATATAATAAAATCACGATACAGAACTGCAGTACAAAATAAAAAAGTACAGAACTGCGGCTCCCGTGCAATTTGAAAAACCTACGTTTCAGCTCCCACTGACCTCTTGCTTGCCCACCCCTGTAATAAACATTTAGTGTAAATGAGTTTTATATTCATGCTGTTTCCAACAGCTGTGCATTATGATTAATGGCTGAATAAAAGTGGTGTGGTCTTGTCATGTGCTTTAGGCTGCCATATATCATATCTACATTTCACTTCTAGTCCTACCTACCTTACTATGTTTGGGAGTTGACTTTTAGGAAATGTAAATTAAAACCAGAATTTTGAGCTAATACACTACAGATCAACTTACATACCAGCATATATACTAAGTTTAAGGAAACATTTTAGAAAATGTCTTCAACAGTTCAGAAAAATAAACACTCTTCTCTGAATTTCTGTATAACTAGGTATTTTCTACGAAAAAGAAACAGAGTTCTGCAGCATAAATTTTTCTGTTTCGGCTTGACACAAATACACAGATATAGTGATATGCTTATAACATTCTGTCTAAAGCAGGTTAAAACACACAGATACAAGGGGATGAGTTTTGAAAAGTTAATTTTGTCAGGAAATCAGTATGTTAAATGCCCATCATAAAGATTGAAATAAAAGTTGTCGTAGAGATCAATATAAGTTAAGAGCAATTTTAAACTCAATTGACATGATCATGCAATGAGTTTACAACCAGCAACCTGTCCATAGAGGTTACATGGAGAAATATAACCTCAAATAGCTCAGCCATGGATAGAATTTCAATTTTCCAGCTTCGTCACGACATTGACCTTGCCAAGTTGTACATACATATTTGCAAAAAATAATTTTTAATATCTGTGTGGTTGCTTTGAACTCTGATCACAAGCAAAACACTTTCTGATTTATGAACAGCTTCACTTATGCTCAATTCAATAATAAGCATAGCATTTCTTTGAATTGTTAACTTTGATAAAGGTGCATTTTAATTTCGTTTTCATCAATTTTTGCATTTCTGATTATCTTAATTTAATTTGCAACTTTTTTCCAATAGATTTCATGCTTTCTTTTAAAATAAAAGCTGTCACATCACATTCACTCAAAAATATTACATCATAACTATAATAAATACAGTGGTACCTCAGGATACGAAATTAATTCGTTCCGAAACTGAGATCGTATCATGAAAATGTCGTAAGGTGGATCATCTTTTCCCATACGATTACATGTATAACCAAATAATTCGTTCCAACGCGAAAAACATACTCAAATTAAAGCCAAGTAATACATTAAAAAAATAACTGTAGTAAGAAAAACAAATGAAAAATGCAAACTAATGTAACGTCGTATGGTGAGTTTTTGTTCGTATCGTGGAGCAAAAATATGTTCGAATTTCATGTTGTATCCTGAAAATTTCGTATGCTGGGGCGTTCGTAACCTGAGGTACCACTGTATATTTTAACAATAAAATACATAAAATAATCAAAATAAAAATCAAAAACCTTAAAATAAAAGAACATTTTTTTTCATAAAATTATTGTTTGTGTAATCAATTTGTACACCATTCCTTAATTTACTTACCAATGGCCTAGAGTGAAAACCTTATAATACAAAATCTGTAATATTTCAGGGAAAGCAAAAACCACAATTAAAGCATTTAACAGTTTAAAATGTTGACTTTAATAATTTTTTAGTGTTAAAATATGTGTATTTCCAGATTTTAAGGAGTACAGGCCAGAAAGTGATTTCGTGACTTAAAAGGGTTTTATTCTAAGCCATCAAGTGGCAATTCCTGCCAGGACAAGAAACAAAAATGCTCCCATCTGGAGGTCCTGTTGCCAGACTTAAACCCCATCTATTTTTACACGTGGGAACAATTGAAAAGTCTCATATATGCTGAACAAGACTCTAGAACAAGACAGGAATGCTGCTCGTTACACTGTTCAGATACAAGCCAGAACATTTGACATTTTAAACAGTATATCGGTCCACGACACGACGTTGCAAACTTGCATAGAGACACGGGGACACTTCAAGCATCTGCCGTGACCGACCAGACGGGTCTGCGGTACTGTTCAGTAATTTTATGCAATGTAATAAATCCTTTATTGCATATTCAATTCCAGATGTATGTTTTTGGGAGCATTTCTGTTTTTCTTATCCTAGCAGGAAGCACCAATCAAAAGTTTGTACCCATATTTTGAATTCATCCTGTATATTTATTCACATCATTATATATAAAGAGCTGAAAATTGGATGAATAAAATGAATAAAAAATAGAAAAAAAAATTAATATTTCAGCAATAATCAAAAATTAATAAATTAGTTTTAACATATTTAACATATATATTAACAGCTACCAAATTTTTCAACGTATAGAAAACTCAATAAAAATAGTATTTACTAATGTATATTTCGATACGTATCAATAAAAAAGTTTAATTTCACACTCATTGTTAAATGGAGATAATTAAAAGTAACATGTGCTACATTAATTTGCATATATTCAAAATTAAACATGACACGTTCGAAATTTAACTATATTTTTGGTTTCAGAGTTTCCTTGGAATGACATAAACTTATTGATTTTAGTTATCAATTATACATCCTTTTGATTAATAAACAGAACAAACCTATAAAAACAACTGCAAATGGTCACTATATTCTGTTTACTAAAGAGTTTCAATTGAAAAATTATCAAAAACGAGATTAAGGAGAGACAAACGGACAGACAACCGAACGGACGAACGACAGTGAGAATTTATAAGTATAATTTTTTCAAATTGCAGCCCAAAAAGTGTTATTTAAGGCTTAATTTGAAAATTAAGAATTTATAAATAATGCTTACTAGAGATAACTCCAATGCGGAAGAAAATATGAACTGAAATAAATATTTTTAGCATTTATAACATTTCTTTACAAATTACACGATTCAATTATCGTCACCGGTCACTTCCACATACCATAACTGGCGATAACGGCGCCATTATTGGTCAACTTTTCAAATGCTAAATTTTAATTTAATAAACTGTAATTTTTTTTTATTTTTTAATGTGAAAAATATTTTTACTCTGCCGTATGTAAATAAAAAAATTCAATGATGTTTTTACGATGTAATTTTTCAAAAAATTTTATATTTAGTAAAATATTTCGAAGTATATTAAAGCCGGGTTTACGCGTTCATGGATTTGTTGGCACAAGCTTTCTCGTCGGTAAAATTTTCGCATTGGTTGTTTATGCACACAATTAAAACATGCCAAAAACATATACATTAAACGTATACGAATATTTGACCAGACAGTCATTAAATAGTATTTGATGTTGTACTATCAAACGTTTACTTCTTTTCAGTAGGATGGTCGAGGCGGTTAAGGCCGTTCTGGGAATTCGGAATCGAATTTGGGCGGGTTGAAAATCCCTCAGGAATTTTTCAAGGATATTCGGACTCCATTCTTTACAAACCGTTCGTAGTATTGTGGGGCCTGATTAATTAAACCCATTGGAAAAAGATCCTTTTAGTATCCACAGGGCGAAAGAGTAAAAATGAAATACAGTATTTTCAAACTTTAGTCACATCAGAAGCGATTGTCCGAATGATTATTCCTCAAAGCATTAAAAGTTATCAGAGCTACTCAAAATAAGTTCGGCCTCCAAAAATTGGAAATGTTGACATTTTTAGGTTTCTTGGAAAATTTAATTTTGGAATCTTAGAAACCAGTGTATAGTATTTCTATTATAGATGTATATCAGATTTCGTTATGTAACATTTGTTATTCTTGTTTTTATTCATTATTAGCGTAAACAAATGTGATAACTTTAAACGTACTTTGTATTAATCAACTTGTCATTGTCTTAGGGCGCGTTTGGAACCAGTGTTACCGATAACTGCCGATAGTTACCAAGGCGTTTAGAAAAGGTGACGTAAATAACCAACTGCGTTTAAAAATCACTGTTATGAGTAATAACAGTGATTTTTAACTACTATTCCTACAAAAAACTTTTTGTTGCAGTACAACAAAAGTTCTGGATGGGGGATGATTAAGACCTGTCGGCTCGGAGAACCCAGGATCAATTTCGGACGGGTCGGAAAACCCAAGAATTTTTCGGGAGTGGTTCGACTCTGATATATTGGCCTCTTCCCCCACCATCTGGCCGCCTCATTTGTGGGCCTGTCCGAATCTTTAATAGGCTTACTAATAGTGTTGCCACCTTTTCAAAATTGCTGACCCGGACGTCAGGTGAGGTTTGTTCGAACAGAAGTGCCTGACGCATGAACAATGTCGTTTTGCACTGCGAAGAATAACGTGCAGTGCATGCCGGTTCTAAATCAGTTACAGTTAGGGACTAGGGAGACTTGAGTAACGTAAGTAACCTAAATTAAGAAAGAACAACTACAAATGACTTATTGGATATTGGAGACGTGTACGAATATGAATAGTACAAGCAAAATTAAAAAAAAGGTCGACAGGTTACGCTCGCTATTCCCGGACAAAATTAATAGCTCACCCGGACAGTGAGTCGATTCCCGGACTGTCCAGGTGAAAACCGAACGGGTGGTAATGCTACTTACTAAAAAGGTTTTCTTAGGGCCCACAGAGTGCAAAAAGTTAAAAGAAAGGATCGAAAGTGCCGGCATCCCTAGTAGCGCGTTATAGCTTCATGAAGCCCGGGCAAATATGAATTAGAACGGTCCTACTTACTATGTATATTGACTTCAGAAAATTTTCTTTGAGGGAATTTTTTGGGAAATATATTTTCTTATAAAAGTTTGGTTTGGACTCTAGGCAATTGCCCTTTTTGCTCATAGGATAACGCGACAATAGGCCTTCCGCCCTTTTCATGCTACGCTATTAATCGTGTGCCGAAATACTCTAAAGTACAAAAGCTCATAAAAAACCTCCATTTTAGTAGTTTCGCATCGAATCGGTAGCAGTGTGAAACTAGCATTTTCAACACGAAAAAAAAACGCGATATCGTTTTAATTCATAATTTTTAAAAAAAACTTGGTTATTTTACATAGAAATTAAACTCCGTAAAATAAAAACATTTTTAAAAAAAAACGTATTTTTGGCTAATTTGGTGCTATTTTTTCGTAACCGGAAAATTTGCTTGGATACGAAAGTTGTTTATCCTCGTGCCTCGTATCTATTTCGATATTCATGGCGTCGGAAGGTGCAGGAGGTAATCCCAGAAAAGTTTTATTTCAAAGACAGCGAACCGCGCCCGAGAGAGGAGGACATCATTTTGGTGATGCTACCGGTATTATTATTATTATTTTCTTTTTTTTTGTTTTTGTTTTTCTTGATATAAACTACGGCGAAGAAATAACGCGTGGTGTCGCATTAAAGTTCTGTCGCTTCGTATATTTTGGCTAATTGCCGAATATCAACTCGTTTAACATTCCTGCTTCTCGGTTATGTTTAACTTCTGTGAAAGCGGTTGTTGTTATTGCGCGTTTTGTCTCGTGCAAAATTCAAATGGGGGTCTACAACTTGGGGGAGGGGTTCTCGCCCCCCTCAGGCAACACTTGATTCTTACCTTACTCAGAAAATTTAGACTGCAATGTTTAAATGTACGGGTAGGATGTGAACTCGGAATGACGTTTGCCAACCCCGGAGTTATAGATCCCGTACGGGCGAGAGTTGAAGGAACCGTACTCGTACGTGTGACCCTTCGCTGGATGTTCGCCTCCAAAGGTCGGTTTTTATCCCGAGCCTCGACCAACGTGGAGCGTGGAGAATAGGCGGTATATTGGTTTGTGATGATAACTGACTTTTGGAGGAGAATATCTGGTGAAGGGTTGCACGTGTGGGTATGGTTGACATTTTTGCTCTTGCAGGAGGTGTATAACTCTGGGAGTGGCAAATTCCTTATTTGGAGTTTGCATTTTACTATTTATTATGTGAAAAATTAATTTTTTCATATAATAGTTTCATGAAATTGTTGTTATCATACAAAAAGTTTTTAGCATTCTGTAAGCTGAAATAATTGTTGAAATTTACACATAACGACCTTGTTCGTGTACTGTAATGTGCCTTGAGCTTTTATACATTTACGATACTTTTATAATATTTTCTAAGTTATTGGGCTGCAAATTTGAAAAAATTGTAGACCTATAAATTCCCATTGTTGTCCATCTGTCTTTCCTTAATCTCGAGAATGGAGCTAGATAGATGAAATCAGAGACTGGATATGGAAACCTTAGGGGCAGGATGCCCCGATTAACTATATGTGAACTTTCAATGCAAACTGGGAGTCGCATTGTTTCAATTCAAAACTTTCCCCAAAAGATTAATAGATGACTGGCACGACTCCATTGCTAACAAGTAAGGTATGATGTACAGAGCAAGATGCTGCAGTACTAATTTGAGGTGGAGAGTGCACATTTTAAATCAAATAAATTAAAAATACGATTAAAAATTGCAGCCTGGCATTGTGACAATGTCAAATAAATAATTACTCGTTTCTGTTTATAAATATTTTCATTATTTTATATGGTTGAATAGATATGTGGAAAAAATTTAACATTTTAAAGTATCTTGTGATTGAAACTTCTTAAAAATAAATTGTTTATTACATCAAAGTTAGTATATTCAAGCTGCACAATGAAGAATGTAATAGTGAGGATGAATACGTTGTATATCTTGAAAAATAATAATAAATTGACATGCTAAATGCTAAAATGAATGGGATACTACATATATATAATCTTTAATAATAATAATAATTTTTAACAGATTTAATAAGTGGTAATTATCCTTTTTTTGGTATAATATGTAAATATTAAACATTGGAAATTCATGACAACCAATTTCGCCAACATACTATAAAGGGGATATCTTAAGATTTAAATTTAAGTTTCTTCATGCATTATTAAAATTTTAAGACTTAAAAAAAATTTAGGTCTATTTATTTATTTTCAAGTACACTTTTGATAAATCTTATAATTATTTTAAACTGCTCAACACATTGGATATAAAATATTTACAGAATAAAACAGTATTAAATTACACTTTTATAATTTCAGCAAACTATTTTAATTTGCAAACATTTTCGACTTTATTTAAAGGCCATCCAGTTGCCTATTAAAAGATGTATAAAATTAAGAGATACAAATATAAGAAATAATTATATATAAATGATTATATAAAAATAACTAATTCATGTTGGAATTGCCAGGTTTTTCATGAAAACATTACCAAGCATATGAGATGCTTTTTCCATCTTCAAAGTTAATGCAACTGCTTGTCAGGCCAACTTTGTAGATTTCTAAAGCTTCTAGAGCCCTGATGTGGTTAGTTTACAGGATTGTTTAACATGGCATTCTGGAGGTCAGCTTGCATGTCAGTCTCTGTGGTGTAAATGGACAAGATAGTGGTGTGTTTATAATGCAATCTTCGTCTTTTGTTTCTATGAAACAAAAAAAGACAAAGCTGAAAAACATAGGGTGCCAAGGTGTACAAGATTCCAACATGTTCCAAAAAGATATGGTATATGTTTGGGTCAAAAAAAGTTACATAACTGTATACATACATAAATATAAGTTTATTTCATTCACAGAGAACTGAAAGAAAAATGATGAAATTTGTGGTACTGCACCAGAAGCAATTATTTAATGTATATAGTCCACCAATTAGCAAAACTATGTGTAGTTTTTAAAACTGTTAGGTATTTCCTGAAGATAATCTGAGCATTGCTAGGTTGATTGGTGTGTGTGTGTGTGTGAGAGAGAGATTGCAATTGCCTCTATTTAAAGAAGATACTTGAGGTTATATATAGTTAGGGTGGTGAGGCATCTGTTAGTGATATCACTTGCTAGTCTAGCTATGATTTTTTTTAAGAAACAGTAAGACACTAGTTTGCCATCCCTCTTCTCAAACCTCTCTCACCCTTCTAAAAAAAATTAACCTACTGTATTTTAGAAAAATCCAGCAACAATTTGCTTAACTTTCAAGCGACATTAGGTGGTGCCATCTGTTGGGATATTTTTTTAATATTTTTAACTATTGTAAAATGGCAAAAAGCTTAATTTTGAGGGTATTGATGGGTTTTTATAAAAAAAATTGTAAATACTAAAAGTTTGACCCTACTGGAGATGCACATGACCCCCTTTATCTTTCCACCCCTCAACTTTTAATCACCAAAATTTAATAGCATTGATCCCTCTAATAAATAAACCTCCCTGCAAAATTTCAGAAATTTTTGACAAAAAGCATGAGAGTTATTGAGCTTCGGAAAGGGTGAACAAAGTCATGCCCCACACACACACTAACATCCATACATACAGAAAAAACTCCCAAATTTCTTTGCATTTCTTGACGTTTTAAGGTCCTGAGTCCAAAAGTGCAAAAATCTGGGGAGTTGTTTTTTGACTCTGTCATACTTTTTCTCTTACATATAACAGCTGGAAAAGTAAAAATGATTCATACAAAATCATAGTGTTTTGAATATGTCAAATGTTTTTTTTTTTTCTATAATTTACAACTTGTAAATTATAAGTAATAATTAAAAGTTGTGTTATGAATATAAAATAATTTTAATTTTAATATTTGAGAAGAATTTCTTGCATTTCTACTATTTTCTGTTATATTATTATGTAAGATTTTGCTTAAGAATGAATTATGGTAAATCTGATGTATATTTTTGACAATAAAATGAAAGCATTTAAATGAAAACGTAAACAACTGAGTTGATCAGATTAATATGCATATGTAGTAGATATTTTTTAATCTTCATGAAAAAAATTAACAATATTACTTGTTAAAGTTACTGTTGAATTTTAATAATATTTTTGAAGGTTTATTTACTTATATGACAAATCTGTGTTAATAATTTGACTAATTTTTTTTTTTTTTTTTAAATCTTTATTTTGAATTAGTAGACAGTATCATTTTTGCCATAGCTTTTTTTTTAGAATAAGATGCCCTTTAGGAAATAATGACATTGATTCTGTTTAATAAAATATGAAAGACTTTTCTGGATATTACCATCATAATTATAAAATGGAACCAGATTAAAATGTGTGTTTAGTTTGTTGGGAAAAAGAAAGTCAGCATTTTAATTATATTTAATCTACTTAACTTTCACATCATCTAATGCAGTATCCACTAGCATTTTCATTATTCCTCCTCAAGTTTTTGAAGTATTTTTTTCAGTCTTGTCTAGGTTCCATTTCTCATTGCTCCTGCTCAAAATTTAATTTTAACTTTCTCTTCTATCAATATTGAATAAACTCCCAATTTTTCACATAGTTTTTTTTTTGTCCTCCTTGTTTCTCAGTTTATTGTAAAATGTAATGTTAACCTTAAATGCTATCGCGGTTTGTCGCACTTTTCAGAGTTTCATAAAAGCTTGGACTCCAAGAGTCAACATAATGTATTGAAACTATTCTTGTATTGGAGAGATGGGGGAAAAAAGAAGATACATTTATATATTTTTTAAATTACAAGGATGACTCTACATCAAAGACTTCAATGATTATACACTTTAGTCTTTGATACTAATAACAAAAATATATTTATTGTTTTTTAAGTTTCAGTCCCAATACCCCAATATTAACAGAAACAAAAGGATAATTTCCATATAATTTGTATAGAATATAATGTTATATAATTTCAGTTATCCTTAATGCATTAAGCATCCCAATAGAAAGGCATAAAATATCACACTGGGCCAGTACAGATTCTAATGTATAGTGTGTGTTGTGTTTTGTGCAACACACAACCCGGGTAAATTGCTGGGTATGTTGCTTATTTACAGCACATTGTGCTGTGTTAAATCATAACTTAGCAGTGAGTGTATAAAAATTTCATGCATGCATTCATACATACGAGGTATATGTGCTACATGATGCAGTATATATTTCTACTTGCTGTTAAAAATTTTAACACCATAGGACAGTACTATTTTTTATTTTTATATAAATTATTTTTTGGTATATGATGATGATTATTAATTTAATAGTTTTAACAAAATATGCTCTTAAATCAATACACTGTAAGAACAAATTTCTGAAAAAACTAGTTGGTCATATAATGCAAAATTTATTTTTCTTAATCTATTCTCAATTCTATAAATCTTCCATAATAATACTGAATCATTATAATAGTGATTAAAACAAAACACCAATAAAAAAATTTTTTTATGATAAAACAATATGATAAATTATTTGTAGTAGTGCATATTTTATTCACTTTTAAATCATAAATAAATTGTAAAAAATTATAACATTTCAATTATTTTGAACAGATGAAAAACTTATTATTTTTATTATTTAGGTTTAGAGAAAGGAGATATTCTTAGCAGTAAACAGAGAATACAATTTGATCACGAACTAGAAACTAGTATCAAATTATTAGACAGAGGTGAGTTTTTCAAATTAAATTATTTAATACTTTTAATATTTATAGTGTGTGACTTTTAAAATATATATAGATCTGACATTTTAAAATAACTGTGTGAAAATGTTAATTATATTTAGGAAATTTTATGTTAACTTATTAATATAAAATAGTCACATGCTTGTTAAAAATGCATATACATATATTATATTAGAAGTTGACATTTAGTAAAAACAACACCCCAATACTGGTTAATATTAATCCGAGATTCATCACATCACAAAACCAATGAACCAGCAATAAAAAAAAAACTACTCACTTTGAGAAGCAAATGTTTTTGAAAGGACATTTACTCCACCAGCCTAAGGATGTCCTTTTTAAAAATGGACATAAACATTGGCTTCTCAAAGTGAGTAGTTCTTTTTTATTGCTGGTTCATTAGTTTTGTGACGTAGTGGATCTCCGGTTGATGTTTACAACTTTAGACCTGTGTAATAAATCTTGCTATTTTTTTACATGGTTGAAATCAATAATATAATAATTGGCTTGGCATAATATCATGGCTTATAATATAATAAAGAGTAAAATTTGATAAGCAGAAAGTATGAATAAATATTTTTTTTTTTGAATATTTGGTAGAATGGTTAAGGACCATCCATTAATTACTTGTACAGTTTAAGAAAGGGAGGGGTTGCAAAAAGTACAGTACACCATTGTACACAATGGGAAAGAGGCAAATCAAGGTATTGTCTGCATAGACTTTTTCAATGGTTTTAATGGCATATAAATTCATTCTTATAAACTTTATAGTCATGAGAACTATCAATTAGAAAATATTTGCAAAAAACATTTTTTTAAGCCACATTTCTTTAATGTCAGTTGGATCTATGAATTATTGTATATATAATTAAAGGAGAGTTTGACAAAAGTACATCATTGTACATAACAGTGAGAAAAAGATCAAAAATTGTAATTAATGAACAACCTTAAAAAAAGCTAACTTATCAAACTATTCTGGATTCCAAAGTTACTGCATACAGAATTTTAAACTGTTAGTTAAAAGTAAATAATACAACACTTATCAATAATCAGTAAAAGATCAACTTTTTTATATACTTTTAGAGTATTATTTAAAACAAATTTTTATTGTAGAAAAAATTTAAGATAACGAAACATTATGAAAACAAGTAAAACATCTAACAAGGGGACCTTACGGTCTCGGAAATTCAGTTCGGGATGAGACTTGGCAGGTTCGTAGTATACCTCAAGGGTGTCCACCCAGAAGAATTGTAAAGTGCACTAGCCAGAAGATTCCGAGAAAAAAGGCTCTAAAATTTTAAGCGCAGCTTATATACCGATCGATTCTACCTTATGGTAGTACAGCGAAGGGGCTCAGTCCGTAGCGTACTCGCCTGCAACACGGTGCGACCTAGGTTCGATCCTACCTTCTGCAAACTTTTTTTTTTATTGGTTTAAAAATTATAACAATTTTTAAATAAAGTTAATGACGTAAAAATATTATCAATTAAATCATAAATACTTTTATTTTATTTATGAAATGACTGTTACAGCGGATTAAAATGTGAATTAAAGATAACATTTTATTTTTCAAAAGTTGAATAATTTCAAATGCATTTTTAATAGAGGTAAATTAAAACTTTAATTACCACTTTAACAAATTTTCGGGTAGGGTTTTATTTAATATATATGTTATTATTTTATTTATATATTTTTAATATAAATTATATTCAGTAATATAAAATATATATAAATAATTTTATTTATATAAAAAATTTTTACAATATTGTCTTTATTTGTCAATTTTTTATTTTACGTACAAGCACCAGAATGATAATTATCATAAAAACATTGAAAACAAAAACTATTTTGACATCTTGCACAATTTATAAAGGATGATTGTTTACACGAACAACATTTTTTTAATAGATCTGTTGGAAAACATACTTCGTTTATATTCATAAAAATTTCTCTTTTATCAGAAAGTTTGGAAGCATACCAGGCATACCGAATCATTTCATTAAAAATTGGTGATGATAGTTGATGAAGCACTATTGATTGTATTTTTATACAATCTTCACGGGAATTTATTTCTCTATTATTTTCAATTAGATAAGCGCAATTTTGTATACGCTTTATTAGATTTTTTACCTGTCTATAAAAATATACGTCGCAAGGTTGGACAAGAGGAGTACATTTTGGAGGAATTACTTTTATTGTACAAGTCGGTGATTTCGCGTCATCCTGAAAGATTTTGTCATACAATTCAGGCTTCGTTTGTCCACCCCAAGAGTCAATAATTAATAAAAACTGTTTTTTTCCCACATAAGTCTTTAAACAACGGTTTAGAAAGTCAATATACAGTCCTGTCGTTAGTTTCCCAGATTTCGAAGACGTTATTACGACATTTTTATATTTTTTCGCATATTCATTTACTGTTTTTTGAACTCGGGGGCCAAAGTTACCGGTTGCTTCTTGTAAACAAACAAATACTTGAGGTAGGACTTTTCCAGACAGAGTGAGAGCATATTGAGCGGTATATGTATGAGTCACTTTATTCATGTCATGCCTTTTGACGAAAATAGTTTTGCTTCCTTTTTTATCCAAGGTCCTGTTGTACACCGACTGATACTGACATCCTGGAAACAGAAAACAACCGAAATTTAAGTATTTTGTCAGAGTCGTAAAAATAAAGAGCAAAATGAATTTGTAAATACTCTGCAATAATTTACCTGTCTGGTCAGTGTTGATAACAAAATCTTTGTTGAAATTCGGTATCAATTTGAACGTCTGGGTTCGAAAAGTGTCTGCAGAAGCCAACATTTCTTCGATCGTCGCTGTTTCTTTTTTTGAAACAAATTTTGTCACTTTTCGTTGACGAATTCCATGCTTCTTTTTGAATTTATGAACCCAACTGTCAGAAGCTTTAAATTCAAAATCTGTAAATTGTTGTGCTGCTGCTAAAGCCCACTGTTGTAAATTCCGAGTAGTCACTTGTTGATAATTCTCTCGGGCTTCAACAAAACGATCACGTGTCCAGGAATTGATTGTTTCGTACTTATCAAATTGATTTCCTCCTTTTTTTATCTCTTCTTCCCATTGGGATAAATATTCCTTCTTTTTTAACCGGCTGCATCCTTTTTTTTGCAATGTTTGTAGATTCCACGTGGGGTGAGCCTTTGCGATATTAACAACTTTAATTTTGTAATCAAAAGAAAGATGGTCTACCTCTCTCTTTTTTTTTCCTTCTGGTTCATATTCATCTGATGAGCTATGGTCTTCGACATTTTCAAAAGGTTCCTCGTCACAGTTTTCATTTTCATGAGCAAGTTCATCATCAGTCACAAGTATTTTTTCAGCCAGCATGTCCATAGTACGTTCGTAAATTTCTTCACCCATCAACATTGCTTCACGAGAAATTGAAGTTGAAGATTCCGATGTAATCAAATTATTTTCAGCAAGCAAGCTTTCGTAATAAATGACCGCATCTTTTAACCTCAACTTCGACATTTCACTGTATAATGAATCTTGACTGATTTCATCTGCAGCTTCTGATACTTTCGCAATTTCTTCATTAACAGACATTTTCAATTCACAATAGCTTAAAAATTCCGATAATATTTCGCAGTACAGAATGCTCCAATCTTGCGAAAGTCAAAAATGAACTAGCACGTTAGTTTGACAGTGAGTTTCTAGAATAATAAGGGTGGGTAAACCTATATATATCGTGTGAGACTCACTACGTAATCAGTTTACTTACTTACAAGTTAAATCATAACATAACTTTCTAAAAATATCATTTTGTCGGATAACTGTCAACTTTCACACCTAGAAGCTAATCATTCAGTGAGTTCTCACAAGTCAGCAGCAAAAGTGACGCTTTCACATAACCTTTCGACCTATCGTGGTAAGTTCATCGGTTGCAGATAACAAAATAATTGAAGTTTTAATTTACCTCTATTAAAAATGCATTTGAAATTATTCAACTTTTGAAAAATAAAATGTTATCTTTAATTCACATTTTAATCCGCTGTAACAGTCATTTCATAAATAAAATAAAAGTATTTATGATTTAATTGATAATATTTTTACGTCATTAACTTTATTTAAAAATTGTTATAATTTTTAAACAAAAAAAAAAAAAAAAAGTTTGCAGAAGGTAGGATCGAACCTAGGTCGCACCGCGTTGCAGGCGAGTACGCTACGGACTGAGCCACTTTGCTGTACTACCATAAGGTAGAATCGATCTGTATATAAGCTGCGCTTAAAATTTTAGAGCCTTTTTTCTCGGAATCTTCTGGCTAGTGCGCTTTACAATTCTTCTGGGTGGACACCCTTGAGGTATACTACGAACCTGCCAAGTCTCATCCCGAACTGAATTTCTGAGACCGTAAGGTCCCGTTGTAAGCCATTTTTGGGATGAGACTATGTCTCAGAGAACACAAGCAATGCATACACAAATCTTGCACTCGCACCTGCTTGTAGAAACAGTCTCAGCATTTCATATTTTCTTTTGACCCAGTTCTCAGTTCCCTGACTACCTACCAGTTTGTTTTATTTTATGTGCATATAATTTGGGCACCAAATACTCTGTGCCAAATTGCAATTCCTGACATCTACTCCTTCATACCTCTAAGGTGTGCAGCCATTGACAGCAGCGTGATTTTAGAGACGAGACAGTCTTATCAACAATAATTTGAGTGATTCATGTGTTTTACATGAATTAAATATTGTTTAAAAAATCCAAAACGTGTATTATACTGTAATACAATTTTGAAATTTGTGTCATTGTAGCCATTATTTCCTTATATCATATTTGAATTTATTTTATTACAAATTTCATGTATAGTAATACAAATTTACATAATGTATAATTTTGTAATAGGTATATAAAATGCAAAATGTAGCTATAATAAAATAGTAATAAATTAAATTTTTAAAATCTAATTTAAACTTTTGTTGCAAACAAATTTAAAAAGACTGACAAGTAATGAATAGTGAAATTTAAAAGAAAAATATTTTTCAATTTTATAATAATTGTACAGATAAATTTTTAGAATTAAAGATGCTTAAATTTATTTATATATTAATAATTAGTGATGGGACGATTAATTTGAATTGGGAATCTGAAAAATTGAGCATTTTCCAGGAATCGGAATCAAGCAAATCTTGTCACAATTTCCAATTCTAAAAACAATTCTTTCACATTTAATAAGAAAATTAATTATTTCTTTCAGTTGAAGATTAATTTAAAAATTTTTAAATCGCTATATTAATAATTAAGTATTAATTAATTAAGTAATTAAGTATTATTGGAAGCTTTCATGTTGATAAAGCAGAAAGTACATGGCACCTCATACACTGTCTGTCACGGTGGACTTTTCTTTCGTGTAGTCAGAGCAATGGGAGATTACACTTGGTCAGTACTAACGGGCCCCCATTTTAGGAAAGATGGGGTGATATTTGGGTTGTCCCAGCTGTCATTGGCCTGGCTTGACCAGCAATTTCAAATCAAGGCCTGTGGTTAGCAAAACAATTTAAATTATAAACAAAATTATATTTTAATTGAAAAAATATTACATAAAGTTATTTTTAATATTCAGTATGTTTACTTATAATGATAAAATGACTTTCTCATTATAATTATGAAAATTTTTGTTATGATTCACAGATGATGCTGTNTGGTTAGCAAAACAATTTAAATTATAAACAAAATTATATTTTAATTGAAAAAATATTACATAAAGTTATTTTTAATATTCAGTATGTTTACTTATAATGATAAAATGACTTTCTCATTATAATTATGAAAATTTTTGTTATGATTCACAGATGATGCTGTAATATGTTAAATTTTCAAATGTAATTTTAAGTAAAAATACTTGTTTGTGCTAAGTTTACTGCCATTTTTTGTTTTAAAAATTGATTTTTCAAGATGAGTAGGTCTAGACATTTGTGGCTCAAGTGAATGAATTCAAAAATGAGTTGACTCATGATGATGATATTTTTTCAGCTCATTGCATCATTTGCCAAACCTTATTTAGTAAATGCTTTAATTCCATTGTATTTAATATATGATGGAATTAAAGCATTTACAAAGCATGCCAATTGAAAAAAGCATGAAAAAAGAAGTTCATCTTCCCATTTACCTGCCTCTCCTCCCCCTGGTCGTCACATCGGCCAACAAAGCAGTTTCCAAAATTGGTGGCCCTAGATGATGATATGGGATAATTCTTTGAATAAAAGGGAATTAGCTGTAATTTCTTTGAGGGTAGTGTTGTAATATTAATTTCATCTGAAATAAGACTACATATTTATTTTGTAGTATACAATAAAAGCATGCATATACACACAAATGGAGAAATTTTGGGTTCCTTTCAAAAGATTGATTCTGGATTTCCCAATCATTTTCCATTCATAAAGTTGATGATTATTAACTAATGAATGTACTGTGCTCATAATGCAAATCATTACTTTTTTCTAAACTAAAATAAACTTTAGAAGGTATTCAGAAGAATTGGAATTGGGAGAAATTTTGGTATCGTCCCATCACTATTAATAATACTTTATTTTGACTAATCTTTTGCTCTTTTATTTCTGACATCAGAATTGCATCAGCAAAGATTGACTGCACTTCGTGAATTGGCAGATAAACTCCAAGAAACTTCTTGGAAATACCCCTCTATTGATCAACTGCTTGGACTATAAGTAATGTAAAATAAATAACTGTCATCAATCAAAATGGCATTCGGAGGATCAATAGTTCTAAGCTATCATGATTCTTTGCTTAGAGAATCGGATTTGAAAATATTATGTGGTCCGCATTGGTTAAATGATAATCTCATTGGTTTCTGGTTTCAATACCTAGAACACGATTTATATCGAGAAAATGCAAATCAGATAGGATTTATTAGTCCAGAAGTGACTCAGTTTATTAAATTAGGAGTGGTGGAAGATTTACAAAATACTTTGTCATCTTTAAATATTACAAGTAAAGAGCTGTTATTTCTTCCCATCAATGATTGTTCTTTTCAGGACAGTCCTGGAGGGTCACACTGGAGTTTGTTAGTATACAGAGCAAGTTTTCATATTTTTGAACATTACGATTCTCACACAGGCAGTGTTAACAGATTACATGCTGAAAATGTTGCCAAAATTTTAACACCTTTTATACTTGAGAAAGGGGCCGAGGTGGAAGTTCTCGAAATGGAGTGTACCCAACAACAAAATGGTTTTGACTGTGGTTTACACGTTATCTGTAATACCGAAGCTCTCTGTCGGAAACAGTTCGCAAATAATCCCAACCACGTATCTGATATTGCTTCTCCAGAATCTGTTAGAAGAGCTAGAAGTGACTTGAGAAATATTATATATTCACTTCAAAAGAAATAATTTGTTATTGTGCTAATGTACTTTTCCTTGTCTTACTAATATTTCAAATTTAATATATTTAAACTTTTCTTATTAAAAATTTTTGATATAAATTTAATAATTTAAAATAATTATTAATAATATTATTACCTTCTTAACATTTATAAATTTTAATGCCTAAGAAAGTTTCTGTTAAACAATCAAAGTATAATGCTCAATTTTTAAATTTATTTATAAATGTAAAATTCAAATTGCCAGTACTGATAAATCTTGAATATTTTGTTTAATATTTATTAAACTTTGTAAAAGCACAAAGGAACTACTGTCAAACTTAACTTTTTCCATTCTAAATTATATTTCATATGAAAAAAATAACAATATAACAAAATGCTTTAAAATTTCTTCCAATTTCAGCTCAAATTCAATTAATATCTTTAAAATATTGAAATATATTTCTGCATTAAAGTAAGAAAAGAAAAATAAATTTCAAATCTAGAAATTTTAAAAATTTTAATGCTATTGTTTATCATACATTTGATATATAATTTAGAATGGAAGTCTTATTTAGTCTTATAGAAAATAACTTCATGAACAAACCACAGTAATACCTCGACTTACGCGAACCCGGAATTACGCGATTTTCAAATCTCGCCGATTTCTCTTTTGTTTGAGCAACATGCAACTCTTGATTACTTACTCCCCCCACACTATTGTTCAGCTTACATGTTCGGACATGTCGCACGGAATCGATGCATAGCTACAATTTATTTTGTGTTATTTATTTCTGTGTTTGTTATATCTACGGAGACTTGAGAGACTACGATGTCATCCAAACTAGGTAGAACTGATTCTTCTGCATCAAACAAGAAAAGAAAAACTTTAACTTTGGAATGTAAAGGTAACATTATTAAAGACTTCGATACAAAAATGAAAATTTGTGAATTGGCAAAGAAGTTTGATCTACCGGAATCGACGGTCAGAACAATTATAAAAGGTAAAGAAAAAATTCTCGAAGCTGTGAAAAATGCTCAATCTTTAAATTCAAGCATCATTCGTAAACTTCACAGTATTATCGCTGAGATGGAAACAATGTTAAAATTAAGGTGTTGTAATCAAGTAAATGTGAAAAATTGTCCTGTTGATCAGAACGCGGTGTGCTCTCAGGCTAAGCTGGTTTTTGAGAGATTGAAAGAGGATGCTAGAGAGATGGCTAAAGATGAAGAGTTTAAAGCTAGTAATGGTTGGTTCAGCCGATTCAAAAGTTGCTGTAATTGGCATAGCATTGCAGAAAGTGGAGAGGAGGCAAATGCTGATAAAGAGGCTGCATCTTACTATCCAGAGAAATTCAAGATGAAGATGGCTATACCAGCCAAACCATATTCAACATAGATGAGACTGGCCTGTTCTGAAAGAAGATGCCTAAAAGAACGTTTATCGCTTGTGAAGAGAAACCTTTTCAGGTTTTAAGGCCGCCAAAGATCGATTGACAGTGATGGTTGGCGCAAATGCAGCTGGTGATTGTAAGTTAAAACCTCTTAGTTTATCGCTCGGAAAATCCAAAAGCATTGAAAAAAAAACTAAAGCTGGCTTGTCTGTGATTTGGAAGTCGAATCGTAAAGCTTGGGTGGCAGCTTTTCTTTTTGAGGACTGGTTTGGTCATCACTTCATACCTAATGTCGAACGTTATTGCCAATCTAAACAAATTCCATTTGAAGTGTTGCTAATAATTAGTGATGCCACGAATAGTGATTTTGCCGAATACCGAATATTCGGCTACGCTCTCAGCCGAAGCGCCGAATGTTCGGCAAAATATGTGTACATTTCGCAGGCGACAGGTTACAACCTGTCTCATTGCGGTGGGTGCGGTAACGACACCGCGGGCGCACTTGTTTTATTTGCGAGTAGATCGTGTCACGACATGCAATATTTGTTCACTGTTACATCAAATTGTGTTACTAATAGTCCTTCTAAAAAATATCACTGTTTGTATCACTTTATATGAAAACTGTTCGCCTAGATCGGACGGCAGACCTTTACAAGTGGCGGTCACCAAACGCAAAACAGTATCCAAGCCTGACAGAATTCGTTAAGATTTATCTATAGTCTCCCGACAGTAGTGTATATAGTGAGGCTATTTTCAGAAGCAGATATAGTTTATGAGGAAAAGCGCAATCGTTTGCTATCAACAAATGCTGAAAAAATTGTTTTCATTCATCACAACTTACCACTGATAGATTTTAAGTATTAAATGTAATAATTTGTGATTAAAATAAATACGTTTTTGACTAATATGTGCGTTTTTTTCATGATTTGGTATTCAGCCGAATACCGAATATTAAAAAAAGTAGCCCGAATACCGAATAGTAGCCGAATATTCGTGGCATCTCTACTAATAATCGACAACGCACCAGGTCATCCCCTGCAACTTTAACTAATTTGCAAAACAACACTTTAATCCCTGAACCATTTTAAGCAACTTATGGCTGTATGAGATGGTGTTCCATCCTGCTGAAAGATGCATCATCACCTTCAAACAAATTCCCAATGGTGGGCAGCAGTTTGGTTTCAACACTGCTTTCTGGTATTTTTTGCATCAATTTTGCCATCAAGACGTCTAACACCATGCTTGGCCATGCAAGCTCACACCATTAAATTCACAGGATGTTTAATAGTTGTCATAATGCACCTGAGGGACTAAATGAAGTGAGAAAACAGTATTTCAGATGGAAAACTTGCTTTTGCAATTAGGAAAGGGCTCATAAACACTCCCAGCTCAATGTGGACCTTCATAACAGCCAGCAGGAGACATCTTACAAGAAAAAATGCTGTCCTCTTAAAAGCAGAAAAGTCAGAGGATTTATTATCATCACATACCACATACAACCGACAACTGAATACATCGCTGATACACAATGCATGACAGTACCTCCAAATATCATGGATGCTTATAGACAAGAGTTAAATGATTTGGTAACACAGANGTGGTTCTTATTCAGGCGCTATGGAATTCCCTATATGAATTCGAATTTCCAGTCTAGAATTAACCGTTGTTTTGGAAAATCTTTCTGGAACGTTGTCACGTGTGACCGATGGCGTCATTGTAGACTTGCGCATTATCCGTATGTTGTTACTTTAGAGTTTTATTGAGGAAGGCTTCCCATGCTGTTGATATCTTCATTTCTTGTTTGAAGTTAATGCAGTGCTTATTCCTGAGGGTGTTAAGGCAAATGTATATGGCTTCTAGCCATCTGAGGTGTTCTGTGTGGAATGTGGTGTGAATAATTCTGGCTAGAGGGAATAGCGGCTCTATTTCTGGGTCGGAGGAGTATACTGCTAAGGCGGTGTTGTTTCTATGATGTAGGGTGTCCGCTTTGTGTTCCTTGATCCTAGTTACTAATTTGCATTTAGTGGACCCGATGTAGATTACTTCGCTGTTGTCTCTCTGATGTTCCATAGCGCCTGAAGAAGAACCACATTAGGTTCAAAAACGTTTGCAAAGTCCTCTGCATTGGAGAAGAACAACACTGGTTACAGGCAGTGAAGTTGGGTAATAGTTTTTAAATTCAAATGGTAATATCTAAAGCACCAAACTGTTATTTGAAATTGTCTTTATTTCAAGCTTTTTATATTGATGTCCAAATTAATTATTAATTATTTTAATAAGTCATTTACAAACTTCTGTAAACTTACAAGAATTAAAAACAATGTTTTTCTTCGTAGGATAATAAAATTGGATCCAAAAATTAAACATTGTTCATTAAAATAATAAACCAAACAAAAAATTCTTTATCTAAATCATTGATGTAAGCAATTTAAAACAACAATGATATAATGAACAACATACAAATGTTTTTAACCAAATTTACATTTGTTTTGTTAAAACTGGCAAATTGAATGACAATAGCAGCTGAAAATATTTGTATAATAAAAATGCTACTAGTTCAAAGTGTCTATTTATCTATAAACATATTATGTCCAGTTTCCCCCTCCCCATGATTTATGAATGGATTTTAATGTGATAGCTATTTAATCAGTTAATCATTGTCATTCAATAGCAATTTTTATGATCAGTTTACAAAATTAGATTTAGTGCTTTAGTGCGTATAAGAAATCAAAAAGGAAAATTTAGGTTATAGCTTCCAATTATAGTTTGATTGAATCAACACAAAAGCATATACTTGTGAGAAATTAAATAACAGGGTTAACGAACTGATGTGTTTACAAGTCGTGTGTGGAACTTTTTTTGTATTAGGAAATATTAAAAATACTTTTTAAAAATATAATAGCTTGCATTTATATTTGAATTTTTATCTGCTATATCTTAATCTATTATTGAATTAAGATTTGGTTTGTAAGTTTTAAATTTTTAAACAAGCATTCGATATATTTTAATGTACATTAGATTTAACAGAATCCAAATTTAATGGATTAGAAATAGCTTGAAAGTTGTTATATGCTATTAATTTTATCTTTAATGTCAAAATAATAATATTTTCTTAAAGCAAACTAATAAAAAAACTTTATACTTTTAAACCTCAACTGGCTAATTATAAAAAATCAGTTTAAAATATTGTTGAATTATTAATATATGTATTTAATGCATGTTTCTATAGTAATATTGATGTGCTTTGTATTTTTAAGAGTTTAAAACAAACTTTTGAAAAAAAGAAAGCATTTTGAGATATTTACTTATTCATGTTGCTATAGAAAATTGTTGATGTATGCTCATAAATTGTCCAAAAGACTAAAATAATGAAAGAAATTCTAAATTATTACTATTGATATTGCATTCAATAAGATTTATTGTATTATTATTATTATTACATTTATATATATATATTGTGAAATTTTTCAATTTGTAATTTAAAATAAAATCTTCAGTTATTTACAACTTTTTGGTTTCATTGCATAAAAATAATTCAGGTGTTTTAACATTGAACTATTTCAATATTTTAAAATGTCACAAAATATTTAACAACTTTATAACAAAAGAAAAGAATTTTAGCATGTTATAAATTAACATATAAATTTAAATAACTTTTAATATTTATAAATTTACAATGGATATTTCTTTTTATATTGCACATTTATTGATTTAATGACTAGAATATTAACTCTGGTACCGTTCTGTCTATAAAATTTAATATTTAGCTCTGACCAAAAAAAAAAGGATTGACATTTACACATTAATGAATATTTAAAAGCTTTTCTATATCTGTATAAACATGATATGCTAGTTTAATAATAAATTATATTAAATATTAAAACAAAATTGATTGACTAGTTATTCTAAGATACACTGATATGTTTAACTATTTTAACAATTAGACAATTTTTTTGAGTGAGATGCTAAACTGAAGATGCACAGTAGATATTAAAGTTTGTGCTGTCTTTATTGAAATGAGTTTCAAATAAAACAGATCTTTGACTTTTAAAGTGTTTTTTTTTTGGCACAGAAATGAAAATTAAAAAGTTTCATAAAGTGAGATTTTTATATTGTTTATACTTTGCTAAACCTGTTTTTTTTTATTAAAAAACCTTAAAAATCTTGCAAACTCTGTATTACCATAATATCTTTTATCTTCATTTGATTCTTCAATCTGAAATTAAGAAGGAAAAATCATTAAATAAAAATTGGAACTTAACAACAAATTCAATATCATTTAACATATATATGTTAAATTTTTTATTAAAAATCTAGCAATGGGTTGCTTAACTTTCCCAGCAACATTCGGTGGTGCCATCTGTTATGATACTTTAGTTTAAAATATAAAGTTTTTTTTATTATTATAAAATGATAAAAAGCTTAACTTTTAGGTTAGTGACGGCTTTTATAAAAAAAATTGTAACTGCTAATAACGAGTAAAATTGTCATTAAGTCTTACCCTACTGGAGGTACGCATGACCCCCTTTATCTTCCCATTGCCTCTCTACCTTTAATCAAAATTTAATATCATCAATCCCCCTAATAAACAAACTTCCCTGCAAAATTTCAGAAACTCTTGACAAAAAGCATAAGAATTAAGCTTCAAAAAGGGTGAATAAAATTGTGCCACCCACACTCTAACATCCATATATACAGAAAAAAAAAATCCTGAATTTTTTGCATTTCTACATTTCAAGGTCCCGAGTCCAAAACCGTAAAATTCTGGGGGGGTCATTTTTTTGATCAATCACCATAATTTCCCTCTGTTACTGTATATACAACACTCAGGAAAATAAGATTAAAAATAATTAATAACTTTGTCAAGATTTAAAAATTTTCTGTTGTAAATTAATGTGTTATACATACTTCTATCAAATAAAGTAATTTTAATAATAATACTTTTTCTCATTGTGTAATTATATACTACTATGAATTATGCTTGCTTATTACATTTATATATGTG